TTCCATGCATGATGGCCCAAAGAGCCAAGTATGCAACTTTGATTTCAAATGCATGCAAACCAATCAAACAAAACTCCCCATCCCTATCACCCAAGTCGAGGGACAAGGAATGCATGCAAGATGCAATGCAACCTAGGCATACAAGCTAAGGATGCAATCATGGCATGGCAAAGCACTTATGCAATCATGCAAGCACACATATGGCAATGCAAATGGATGGCAAAGATGGACTTAAACATGAATTAGGCAACTCTAATAAGGCCTAAAACAGTGGCCATAATGACCGAAACAAGAAGCCAAAACGCATGCACACATACACATGATGGAAGGCCTACACTTGGGCACAAATCAAGCAACATTCAAGCACACTTGAAAGGGATAAACAAGAGCAATTAGCATGCATTATAAGCTCTAAAATCATGCTAATACACGGTGCCAAACCAAGCAACAAAATCAAGCCAAGTCATCCACCATTGTCACAGTTCGTATGCTTTCTCTCTCTCTCTCTCTCTATCTCTCTCTGTATATATATATATATATAATTTCTCGTAATAATTTATTCTCTTGTAGGAAAAAAAATTATAATAATTGGTTTTGTTATTCTTGTTAGTAGATATTTTAAAATTAGGAGTTCAGTAGAGAACTACACAACAATATTATCAAAGCTACACAATGAAGGAATAACTTTTGAACCTGATAATAGATTTGGGCTACTTTCGATAACTTTTGCAAGTGTTAAAAATTTTGACTATTCAATGTGTTAAGAAATTTTCATGCTCAGACTTGCATTCCTGAATATTACTTATTTGTTCGGGAATCCCTTCCCGAACAAATAAGTAATGTTCGGGCCTATATTCCCAAACTTGAAAAAATGAAAACTTCTGCAAGTGTTAACAATTTTAACTGTTCAATGTGTTAAGAAATTTCTATGTTCGGACCTGCATTCCCGAACATTACTTATTTGTTCGGGAATTCCCGAACAAATAAGTAATGTTTAGGCCTGTAGTCTCAAACTTGAAAAAATGAAAACTTTTGCAAGCATTAACAATTTTGACCGTTTAATGTTAAGAAATTTTTATGTTCGAACTTGCAATCTCGAACATTACTTATTTGTTTGGGAATGCCACCCTGAACAAATAAGTAATATTTGGGCCTGTATTTCGCCAAAGGGTCGCCATTGTTGCCGCCGGAATATTGTCATTGCCGGAGAAGTGTAGGTAGTCAAATGGTTGCCACTGTTACCGTTGGAATATTTCCGCCAAAGGATTTTCAAGATTTGGAGGATGGGTAGGTTTTGAAGGTGAGATTTGGGAAATATAGATGGATGGTGATGGAGGTGGATACTCTCATAAACCCTAATTCATGAAGTTGTGGGTGTATAGGTTTAATTGTGAGATGAGGTGTCTCAAAATTAATGATATCCTTTTTAGTAATTTTATTTAAGATTATTATTTAAAAAAAGGTTAGAAATTGGGAGGATCCAAAATAATTTATGGAGTGCTAATAACAGCACTAATACATAATCATTTATTTTTACCCTTTTTTTGGCAAAATTATTAAGCACACTATTTTTTTTTCAATAAAAATTTAATTAAAATGTAAAACAAATAAAAAACATCAATAAAAAAAAGACAAATGTAAAAATTATCAAAACAAAATTTCATAGGATAAGTCAACACACAACAGAAATCGGAGAATCCAACAAGCACCGATTCAATTAGCCAAAAAAACAAAAAACCTTTCGATATTTTCTGGGACGGGTTCTACTCCATGGACAATCAATAAGCACCACATGATCTTCTCACATCAGTTGATATCATGACAATGCTGCCCATAGTTTATTTTTTAACACGTTTATAGACCAGGTCTTTCTAGCTACGTCCCTGGATGGGTTGGACAAGTAGTCAAAAAAAAAAAAAAATTCCCCTTTGAGCTTTTTCTTTTTTAAATTATTATTTTTATTTAAGGATAAGCTCTCTTTTCAATCTATTTTGAGGACTGAACAATGTTGTTAGACCCATGAGAGCAACCATAAATCTTATTTTGATGATCCGAACTGTATAGAGCTCGTCGAGTATTTTATCTTGTAAAATATCATATTGATTGGATATCGATAGCTCCTTGATCAAATCATGTTTTTATCAATAGTAAATATGATTTTTAAAATAAATTATTGACAAAAATATGTTCTGATACAGTGTCTGTCAATATCCGATCAACGTGATTTTTTGCACGGATGAAGTACTCAATAAACTCTGCACATTGAACTATTTGGATCATCAAAATGTAACCCGTAGTGAATCCCATAAGCCCAACCACACCATCCAATCCACAATCTGCCCCCTTTTATTCAATGGGCAACTCTAAACCAACTTTCACCAAGATAAATTAAAATTTTAGAGATAAAACAATATTTTATTAAAATATTTTAATTGTTAAATTTTGACCAAAAAATTAAATATTTACTAATGAATTACTATTTTTTTAGGATTAAAATTTTCTGGCACAAAATTGTTTTGTCACTAAAAATACATTTATTAGCATCATTTTAAAAAATTTGTAGCTAAAGGTTTTTTTTTTTTAAACCAGCATTTTTGTGACAATTCATACGACGATTAAAATTGATTTCCTAATGTCTTTTGAAATAAAATTTAGGTGGAGTTATTGCTCAATAGCTCCTGGCATAATTAGTGTTTTATGATTGTTATTATTATTTTTTGTAAAAAAAAGTCACTAGTTATTAGTTTTTAGTATCAGTTTAATTTTTTTTATTATAGAAAAACGTCAGTAATTGTTATTTTTTTTAGCAACATATTTAGAAAATTGTCACAAAAAAGTCAGTAATTATCAATTTTTACTGACAGATTTAAGAAATTGTCACAAAAAAATCACTAATTATTAATTTTTAATGACAGATTCAAAAAATCCTCACAAAAAGCGACGATTCTAAGAGGAACAACTTTTAGCAACAATTCTAACAGGACCTGCTGCTAATTTACCCTTAAATTTTCAGTTTTAAGAACAAATAAGCTTAGTTACTAAAACTCTTATATGTTGTAATGTTTTCAAACAATAGCAGTGAATTTTCATTTTTTAAATTGAACCAAGGTCAAATTAAAATAATTCAAAAAATTTCAAATGACCTTAATATCCACAAATGAACACTACAAGAATTAACACTTTTAGCAACAAAAAAATTGGTCGCTAAAAGTCTATTTTTGGTCGGCCAAAGTTATCCGCGACCAAAATTTTTGGTCGCTAGTTTGGTCGCTAATTGAGGGTCGGCAAAAGTAATTCGCGACCAAAATTTTCGTTGGTCGGCAAAAGTTGGATTTGCCGACTAAATTTTTGGTCGCTAAATATTTAATTACCGCGACTAATTTATTTTGTCGCTAAAACACTTTGGTCGCGGAAAGTGATATTTTCCCGACCAAATTTCGTAGTCGCCAATTGTCACATTTCCCAACCAAATTTCTTAGTCGCCAATTATCACATTTCGCGACCAAAAAATTTGGTCGCCATTTGTTACTTTTCGCGACCAAAACTTTTGGTCGGCAAAAGTGAGTTTCCACGACCAAGAGCTGTTTTGGTCGGCAATAGATATATTTTTTGCGACCAAAACTCTTGGTCGGCAATTATCATTTTTTGTGAAAAAAATTTATTTTGGATGCTGCGACTAATAAATTGGTCGCCAAAGCAAGAAAATAATACACCTGTATATTTAGCGAATTCATAATCAAAACAGGACGAATTCATAATCAAAACAGGTTTTATTATAAAATTTTCTATATCCAAGTTTCAACACAAAACTCAGTAGCAGCAACATTGATTCCAAAAACAAGGAACGATTAACAAAACCCTATTCTAAACCCCAAAAACCAAAAAACAATTCATTCCAACAAAAATTTAACATAATCAACATCAATTTAAAAAAAAAAGAACATCTGGTGTTAACAAGGTTGAGTATTGTTGTTCTTTTTTATGTAGGGCATCCAACTCCTTTCTGGCCTCTGCAAATCTCTCTTTGTCGTACGCGTCAACAAGGTAAACTTCACCAGCATCTGCCCTATGGATGAGGCGGTATAGACTACCCCTGTTCCACAAAATCAGGATTTGTGCAAAGTTAGCCTTCCATTACTTGCTTTAGATAGAAGTAGTTCAAATAATAAAATAATTCAAGAAGCAAATTGCTAAATTCACAACAATTTTGACTGCGTCCAGCAACCCCTCTCTCGTTGCAGTAACAACCCATGTGAGAAGGATGGCAGTGGCACAGCCATCAAGACTGCTGCAAATCTCTCTTTGTCGTACGCGTCAACAAGGTAAACTTCACCAGCATCTGCCCTATGGATGAGGCGGTATAGACTACCCCTGTTCCACAAAATCAGGATTTGTGCAAAGTTAGCCTTCCATTACTTGCTTTAGATAGAAGTAGTTCAAATAATAAAATAATTCAGGAAGCAAATTGCTAAATTCACAACAATTTTGACTGCGTCCAGCAACCCCTCTCTCGTTGCAGTATCAACCCATGTAAGAAGGATGGCAGTGGCACAGCCATCAAGACTACGGGACAATGCATTAGGAACTAAAAATGTCTTTACCTTCGTAGATATTCTGTCACAATTGACTAATGTGGCCGTTGTGTAACCGCACCAATGAAATCGTATGATTTACTTAATTTGAGATTCAACAACTCAAATCGGATTGTTTTGGATAAAACTCGTATCGAATTGTATAAATCGAATTGTGAATCGCAAGATTCTAACAACCATTGATTTTAGAGATAGGAGAGAGAGATGTAATGGGAAATCAAGATTTACCTGATAGATGGGTGCTCTCACTGAACCAGATGTTGCCAACAGTCTCTTCCCATTAGCATCTAAAGCCATTTCATGTCTATGTTCAGAGTTAGCATGATTACAAAACCTACATAATGGAATAGACTCAGGTTACCAAAGCTCCTTATTCATACTCATATATGTATTGAAAGAGTACATGCAGCAAGATATAAGTGGCAGGGTTGTTTCTGTACTTTCACAATATGACTGTCCCAAAAAACAAAAGGTACAGATTTGACAATGGGCTTCACTTAAGAATTAAAACCACACCTTCCATCAATCTTGACTCTATTAAAATTTCAACTAATAGTACGCCTAAATAAACGATAAGGTTACCATAACATTGAAGGGTAGAGCAATTCAAGTACCTGCTGCAATTTCTTGACCAAAGAATTTTACCTTGGTTTTGCAAGCTCCATTCAAATATCTGAAGTAGAAGCTAATTTGGTGAGATTCCACATATATGGCTAAGCATAAGAATATAATCCAACAAGCTAGCTAAAACAAATAACAAAATTTAAAAGAGTAAGGTAGAAAGTGCTTTTTATGCATGACCCTAACTCAAGCTAAAAATCAGAGGAAACAGAGGCACTTGCCTTTCCATCTATCCCCAAGCTAAAAATACTTGTCTCATCAGGCCCAAAAAGAACAGAGCTAATAGCAGAATCATGAGCCGGCCACCCAGTAATTTGTAGTCCGGCAGACATATCTTTGCCAAATTAAGATGTATACATTTGTTGCGCATGTCTTGTGTGCAGCATGAGATTGGGGACAAGTTTCCTTTCAAAGTAGAAATGTTTAATCCCCCCTCCCTCCCCCCAGCTCTGAAGCCCCAAAAAGAAAGAAAATGATTCCTTTTTCATGTTTTTTTACTTGGTGTACCAAAGAAGTAAAAGCAACACGTTTGAGCCTCTAAAGCAAAATGTGTAACACTTAATTTTAGAAATATAATAACCATTCATACATAAACATAAAATACTATAAGGATACCGAACATATGAATCATTCCATTAGTTGCAGCAGCTGCTAAAATCTTCCCGTTATGGTTGAAGCATAAGGAAGTAATTGCCGGAGGATCTTCACCAAGGGGAAGGACTGTCTTCAATGAAGTTGAGAAATATTAAGACATAATAGCTGTCAGTCAGACAAATTGACTTCCTACAGTAATGTACAATTTGTGGGACAAACAAGGGCATACCACAGCCTTCCATGTTTTCATGTTCCAGACAGTTAAGCTTGCAAATCCCAATTTATCCATATAACTTGTGCCATGCCTATAAAGAAAACTAGGTCCTAAGAATGATTCATATTCCAAAAACATAAATGATAAACAAGTATGATGATAACATCTAAAAACATTGATTAAAAATGGGGATTGGTGAATTTTTTTTTAATTTTTTATCACAAGTAGTCAATTAGTAAGTTACATAAATCCTGCAACTCAATAAAAAGAATTTAACCAATTACAATAGTACTTAAAAGGACAAAAATATACAGTACAGCGGAGAAATAGATTTAAAAGAAAGATACATTCATCCATACAGTGTCAACCAAAGAATCTCCTGCATTAATTCAAATAAATAGTACCAAACATGTGCATTGCACTTTTTAATCATGCAAAATCCATCAGTAATTAGGTATACGTATATCAGAATGACATAAGGCAACAATTATGATCAGTCAATATATATTGTGTCTTGTATAAGCATTCAATTTAGCAAAGTCCACCATACCGTGCTTTTGCTCAGCTGATACTCTCTGAGCCTCTACCAACTCTTTCAAATCTTTCGAAACTGATTCTTTCAAATCTTTCATTTCCTGAAGAACAAAGTTGGCAATTCATTAAGGACAATAGTTGGGTTAAGGCCTGTCCAGCAAAGTTAAGACAAAAAATAAACAACTTAAAATCATTATCATTATGATGTAAATAACCCAAATAATTAAAACATGTTGATATATGGTGTAAATCTCTGTTACATAAACACTTCATAGTGTGAAATTCTGTGTCAGATAAAAAAAACCAAAGATGGGTAAGGATATGTTTTATACTAAAATATTATTAGTGATGTTCAAAGTAGAAGTTCCTTATCATACCCTTTCAACATGTTTCTGTGCTACATGGATACATCCAAATGATTAAAAGAAAGCCATATCTAACAAATTATGTTACATATGAAGTTCCTTATATAGTATGGTGGAACCAAACTAGGATTCATGTTCATTAAGAGAACTTACGTGATTTTTTACGTGTTGTCAAGCTTAGATAGTATGGTAGAGTTGAAGAAAAACTGGACAATAAAGCAAATCACTGAATTCACCAATAGACAAAGAATAATTTGTAATGCACTCTTTTTTTTTAATCAGCAACAAAAATTATCATTGCACATATTTGCACAAACTATTCTTTGGGTATACAGCACTAAAGTAATTTGGGTATACAACAAAAATAAAGCACTAAAGTCTGATTGCCTACAACCTCCATTACTACAAGTTCCACACTGTAATATGGGTATACAATTTGTCCATTAAAAAAATAACAAGAGCCCACAAGTAATTTCACGAAGATCCTTCTCTATTGTCATGTCTATTACAAGAATAAATTTGCACAATTAACAAAGGCAAACTATATCACGATGATGTTTTCTGCGAAAATATATTCCCTATTATTAAAGCAGCAAACAAAAAAAGATTGCATAGATCAAGGATAGGCAACAAAAAAAGGTATCTCAAATGACTTAAAAATGCAACCAAAGTTCAGCCCGTACAAAATTTCTACTTTATCTGTACATACCAAAAAATGGGGATGATGGGGATGATGTTCTACTATGCTTTACCTGTGCATATCAAAAAATGAATAGGAAAGATTACTGCAGGAATGAATAGATGGATGCACACATGCCCACACATGAGTCACCTTAGTTTCAGAAAATTTATAGATATTTATAAAAGAAAAATGCATACTGGTATTTGGAATCATCTCTGTAGCACCCCACCACTTTATTGAAATAGAAAACTAAGATAAAGCATGATAGATCATAGAAAAAACCCATAGATGGTTCTTCACTGCGTGGGCTTTGAGATTAGCATTCTTATTCTTTTTATTAACAATACTCATTACATAGTTTGTAATCTGGTTGGAAACATAATCAACATGAGTCCCACCCTTAATTATCTTTCTGCTTATGACCAAATCAACATTTCTGCTTATGACCATAGGAAATATTTTGTATAAGCAGACAATCCATCATACATGTTACCACTGCATCACTCTGCAGAATGCAGAATGCATGAAAGACAAATCAACATGTTCTTAATTTAGTAACCATTTAACATGAGGCTAGCTTGAGTTAGGCTTTTGCAGATCATATTAAAAGAGTTCATGACGAAGTGAGGGAATCAATCACTATTAGTATTGAATCCTATGCAACAACCAATCAACATCTGCCATCACTAGGTCGAGGCAAGCTACGGCCACCCCAAGGTGAAGGCAACCAAGGCCAAAGCCAAAGGAAAGAGCCTCCTCTGCTGACATGCCACTATAAACAAGGTAAGCAGACACCATCAAGCCTGTCCGACCTTGCCAGCCTACAAAATTTAAAATATGATACAAATGAATAAAAAGCATGTTAAAATCAATCTTCTATAAGGGCAAATCAATCTTCTATAAGGGCAATATGAATCCAGAACATTTGGAAACAGAACATGATTGAGCATAGTGAAACACGTTTTTACACAGTGGGAATATGTCCACTAAAAACACTCGTGGGCAATGATTATTGTCTATGAATGCCAAAGATACATGTTTTAAGGTTGTTCTACAGCAGCCAAAGTCTGATGCTGAGTGGCTATCAGCACCAGTGTTGCACAAGAAATCTTGTAGATGGAAAATTTATGTTCTAAATTTGTTATGCGAGCAACCCAACAACCATTAAATGTAACCACTAATTTACGAAACCCTACCCTTACCCCTTAGAAAAAGAAATAACACAAAAACAGTACGAAAAAAACATACCTGTGATGTGCAGGGAAATGGAAAAAAATAAATAAAATAAACAATTTGAGCAGTAGAAAACCTTTAAGAGAACCATGATCGTTCAGCCTCTGCAATTGATGCTGGAGAATAGTAGAATCAAGATAGGAACGAACAGTTTTCATATATGTTCCATTAACAAGCAATAGGGGAACAGCTGCAGCTCTCCGTGCAACTAAAAATGCCATCGCCAAAGCAGGATCCTCTGAAAGTGTTAACCTACAAAGTTTACATCATTAATCTATAAAGCAAGTTCCAAGGGAAACTTCCCTTCTAACTAATCAGCAAGGATCAAAATTCCAACCCAGTGTCATGTCAGTATGCATAAAAGGGGTCATTTTTAATCACACTTTTTAGGTGTCATTAAAAAATGCTTTCATCACATCTTTAAAGTGTCATTAAAAAATGCTTTCAGAACATTTTGGTGGGAAATCACATCAAACAGTAAGAATCAAATCGTGAATCACACGATTCTAACCACCACACAAACAACTACATGCACTATAGAACCAGAAGCAGAGCATTTCCCTATAGAAAGGCAAGAAAAGTAGATAAACATACTTGCTAGGGTTGTCGAAGGGGCGCCTGCTGCTGTGACTGTATCTGTGACTGGATAACCTGCATTTGTTGATGAGTTTGTTGCACAGAATTCCTCATACTATCCTTCACGAGCTCTGCTAAAGCCCCAAGATTACTAATGATGGAAGGGGAAAATACGTAATGATAGAAGGGGAAAATAGGTTAGATAATTGTGATGAGAGGGAGAGAGAGAGAGAGAGAGAGAGAAGCCAGATATATAACAACTTTCAAGAAATGACAGTTCATGAATCAAAACTTAACGAGAGAGACTAATGAAGTAAACGTAGAAAGAGTCACAAAACAAATGATACATGTGAGCACATTATCATGCACATAAAGATGCCAAACATGCATAACATACCTAAAATAGCACAACATTGATTCCAATTTTCCATAGACAAAAATCATATATACCTAAATAAAGTAACATAGTTCACTATTTGATACCAGATTTGATTAAATTTAAACCAGACCAAGCCTGCCTACAACAGAATTCAAGGTCAACCCAAGAGGAATTCAAACAAATTGCTTCCCATATATACTGCATAAATAATTTTTTTCCACCAATATCCTACTTCAGAGTTCATTTCTACTTTATCAGAAATTCAAAGCCAATAGTCTACTAAACAAACGTAAATAAAAAAAAACCAATCAAATTCAAGCTTATAACATAAAAACAGCTTCACTCACCTATACCCCGCTGTTTGAAGGAACATCTTGAGTAGTTCGATGGCTGAGCACTGTTTTCTGTAACTATCAGAAAAGACTTTCAAGATACGGCCTAGCTTACCAATATGACAACTCAGCAACTGAGACAAGACTTCCATTGGGACTTCTGAAGAAGCTTCAAACCCCACATTTGTTAGCACACGAGCTATCACTTTTCTAGACATCTCTGATGCTTGCTCTTGACTGAGAAGTTTCCTGTTTCCATGAGATCCATTTTTTCCACAACATTGATTCCCTCCATGTTCCATGCTCAGGTATTCTAGTCTAATACCAAGCCTCTCAATCATAATAGGGCTCCTGGTCATAATTTGGGGCAACATATCAAGAACACCATTAAAATCCACTTTGTGGTTTTCTTCCACTCGGTTTATGTGAGGAAGAGCACTATCAGGGTCACAATTAAATGGAAACATCATTTCAGGGAAAAAATATGTATCATCATCAATTGCATCATTGTCATTTAAAACCGAATTTCGGAGCATGTTTGATCCATTTTCTAACATGGGATTGCCGAAACCATTAGTTTCATCTTCCGTAAATGCTACTCGTCTTCTCTTATGCTTTTGAGGATTCTAAGATAAGTAGACATTAGCTCAGGTGTACGCTTGTCTGTTTCCCGATCCCCAAATGATAACCTATATGGTTTAGTAGCTTTATACCTCTCAAAAAACTGAGTATACCATGTTTCTAGCAATTCTTCATGCCTGAATCTCTGGGCCATGTTGTCCATATCTTTTTCACCATATCTTGATCCAATACTAATGGCTTTAGATTGGAGCTGCAAAATTTGTTAACAATATGAGTAAAATGACTCAACTATAACAGAAGTGTGAAATTGAAAACATATCATTTTAATATGCACTACTTGTGGTTCCAGCACATAATAGTAATAATTACATTGCATGATGGCCAGATAATAGTTTTCGAAAGAAGTCATCATACACATCTTTCCAAAGCTATTATCCGACAAATTGCTATACTCTCTATCCAAGCAATTAGTACCATTCTGGGCTGGACCCACAACAATCACCCCCTCTAGTCCATAGAGAGAAAACCACCACGTAACATTGTAATTGAAGCTCATACCAGCCACTTTGTGCAGAACAAAAACTTCTCTTTAGGGACAACTTTAGTCATCATGTCAAGTGATTTTCTCAATATGAATTTTATTTAACTTCATAATCCTTCTACTCTATCTTGATGACATTTAATAGCGGGACATGATGTGAAGATGATTAACAAGCTGAAACAGGAACTATCCAAGACAATTGACATGTAAGAGTTAGGAGATGCACGTAAACTATTAGGAATATAAATAATTTGTGACAGGAAAGCTAAGCAGTTGTGGTTGTCACGAGTGAAGTATATTGAATGGGTGCTTGAAATGTTTAATATGAAAGATGCTAAACCTATAAGCACAATTATATATAACTCTTATCCTTATGAGATTAGGTGAAGAGTCTAAAATTTATCTTTATCATTATTTCATAGTTTGGCTTGTAAGAAGAGCTACAAAGGTACAATTCTACCTATTCACCATCTAGAACATTATTAACACGAGTTAAGATCTGAATTTTAAAATTTATACTCTTCTGCATAGTTTTCGTAACCAACAAGCTCACTAATGGGCAGGTGCCTGGCTCTCCTTGGCTGGACAGAGTAGAGGTATCAGGCCTATCTTCACATGATTCAGGCCTTAGAGGTTGTATCATGAGTGCTACAAAGTTAGGTATTATACTTCGGAGGGTGTATCATGGCATAACGTAGTTACATAGATGGTAGCTACGATATCTCTCAACGTGTCAAGTATTGGATCAACGACCCTCTATCTCTAAGATCAATTAAGGAGTTGCATGTTGGTCGAGCGATGCTCCTGGTCGCTTCTTGGCATACCCTATGGAAATGAGGTATGATGGTCCATGGTCGAACAAGGGCTCATTTGGGCGAATTGGGACTCGAGGGTGCCAAGCCACGGTGCTTGTTGTTGAGCAGACTATGGTTGAGTAGATGAGCTTGCCTCAGTCTAAACCTTAGACTCTTCATATTTTGACTCATTCACCGAGTGCTTGGGCTTGCTAGAGCACCGAATGCACTAGAGAGCCGACCGACCCCACTCAAACTAGATATACAACCCCACTTGCAAAAAAATGATATTTGATATGTTAAGCATCAAAGATGCCAAGCATGAGTTAATACTATCACAAACAAAATGGAAGGCAACCTTTATTTAAGCTAAGCCCAGCAAGTACTCACTACACTCAAAGCTAGTAACTCGGCTTAATTAACAAGGAAATATTTTCTCAATTTTGTTTTTTTTAAAGATCTTTATTTAATTGTGACCTTTTGCCATATCCTTGTAGATGCAAAAAAATATTAATCCTAAGAACATATATGTCAAGAAAAAGGGATGATCAATGACAAGTATGATGCCAGTATGCAAATTGTATGCCTTCATGCCTTCATTACTCCTTGCCTCAGTCTATACCTTAGACTCTTCATATTTTGACTCATTCACCGAGTGCTTGGGCTTGCTAGAGCACCGAACGCACTAGAGAGCCGACCGACCCCACTCAGACTAGATATACAACCCCACTTGCAAAAAAATGATATTTGATATGTTAAGCATCAAAGATGCCAAGCATGAGTTAATACTATCACAAACAAAATGGAAGGCAACCTTTATTTAAGCTAAGCCCAGCAAGTACTCACTACACTCAAAGCTAGTAACTCGGCTTAATTAACAAGGAAATATTTTCTCAATTTTGTTTTTTTTAAAGATCTTTATTTAATTGTGACCTTTTGCCATATCCTTGTAGATGCAAAAAAATATTAATCCTAAGAACATATATGTCAAGAAAAAGGGATGATCAATGACAAGTATGATGCCAGTATGCAAATTGTATGCCTTCATTACTCCAATTTTATGCCATATTTCACAGAGGGAAAAAATGATCTTACTATATAGTCAGTAACAAACAGGCATTGAACCCAACAGCAGAACCAAGTCAATGCACAGAATCAAACACCATGTGCACATGTAGGACCCACTATGTTCAGAAAATAATGAGACCACCATTATTTTTGGAAAAGATGGGACCTACATGAACACATGATGCTTGCTGTGTGAATCCATGAAGGAGTCTAAAAAAATCTTGTCCAATTATATATTAACAATATTACAAAATACAAACTCAATTCTAAGATATCAATCAAGTAGCTCATTTTAGATAAATAGATATGGATATAACCTGAAAGGATTTGAACATGATGATCAAGGATGGAATTAGTATTGATATTCAAATGGAACTAAAATGGACAAATAATAAGAGTTTGCCTTTGATATTATGTAGTCAATCAGATTGAATTAGTATTGCTTCATCCTATTTGTGCATTCAATGAAGTTGTCTTAAACAACACACCATCAAAAATAAATAAATAGTGAACTCGCACTCCTATCATACAAGCCAAACATTTTTAAAAAAAATAATAATGAACTACAGTAACTTCTGAATATTTTTTAGACAGTGGAATGCTATCTTTTTTTTTATAATAAGATTTTATTTGAATAAATTTCAAGACTTAAAATAGTAAAGTTTGATTATCATCACGTTGCTATTATAAAATTTCAAGAATAAAAAAGACAATCTAAAAAATCTAATCAACATTGTATAACACATTGAAGTGGACAGATGTATCAATCTAAAAGAAGAAATGCCAAAGAGAGGGAAAATTTTGGTTTATCTCTTTGTCTTGACTCTTGGGATATTTATTTTTTTTTTCACTATCTTTTTTCAAGAACCGTCTAAACTTCCAACTAACAAGTTGAAATGATTTTTCATTATCTCAATTAAAGTATCAGCCACCCATTGTTAGAGGCTTGCTACTTCAATTAGGCACCATGTTCTTTAAATGGATCTCTTAGCAATTAGCATTATGCATTAAGATGAATGAGGAAAGCATTGATCATCTGTTTTTACATTGCCCTATAGCTGTGGCAGTATGGTAGGTTGGCAGAGGATAACTTGATATTAGCTTCATATGCTTGGATCCTTTTCATTGATCAACAGAAGCAAACAAAAACATAAATATCAATTGAAACTATATTAGGAAAAAAAATGTTCAACTTTTAGATTTGATCTATTAGATTGGGACAATTTGTGTTTCAATCTCACACTATGTCAAAGCACTGGACATAAATTTTACCCTGTTATTACTAACCAAGACCCTCACTATCAATTATCTCATAAAAGCCTAATAAACCATTTTTTCTTTTATTGCCAATATATATAGATATATATAATATGCATACATCATAGCACCATTGATATAGCTTTCTCCATAATTCAAACCTTTGTCATCACAAATTGTCAAATAACTGAAAATAATTTTTTTAAGAGGCATTACAACAAACACCAATCATCCACCACAACAGATACCCATTTCATCATTACTTATAAAAATAAAAAATAATAAAAAGAAGAAGAAGCAGTAGCAGCTAATTTCAACAAAGATGATTAATAAAATAATAAGATTAAAAAAATAATACGCAATTGCGTAGTGATGGCAAGAATAAAGCAACAATTACAATCAGAACAGAATACAATCAGTTATAAAAACTTTATTGTTTTCGATGTTTTCATGAAACGAATTTTTTGAAACTCAGACAAGTGTTTAAAATAGTCCATTAAAATGCTCTGTTTCTAAGAAATTAATAGTTTCATGTCAGTATGCATGGAAACATTAATGTTTCAAAAAGACTATAGAAAGAAACGAAAAAAGGAACTTGGAAATAGATGGAAACATTCGTAGATAAAAAGGCAAAGGTGGAGGAAAATCTATTTACCATCCCTCAGACCCAAATGTAAACAGGAGCTTTGTGCACTGGATACGACCTTCTACCATTACATTCATAGATACAAAGGCAAAGGTGTAGAATCAAAAAGTAAATGTTGACGCGAGTAAAATTTCATGAGTAATATCAAATAAATCAATTTAATTGAAAGCAAATTTATATGATTCTAAAGGCGCATATAAATTTATATGATTCTAAAACTTGTAACAAAATCATTCTAAAGGTGCATATATCCCAACATCATACTGTTATTGACGACAATGATAAGGTCTTCTATCATTTTTCCCTTAAAATAAATAGAAGAACAAAAATAAATTTATGAGATACTAGATTTGAGTAGACACAAGTTGTTGCTTCGGTATGTTTTGGAGTATTTTGCTATGT